CCTGCCCCAAGTGCAGCTCCAGCCCAATTCCCCCTGCCGGGAAGAGCCCAGTGCAGCCCCCAGCCCCAGCCCGCAGAAGAAGGCCACCCTCACCCTGCAGGCAGATCCAGGGGCACATGCGCCCCATGGCCTCCCAGGGTGAGAGTTGCCCCTCCCCTCCTCATACCCCCCAAATGAGTCACTTGTGGCTCCATCCCATGCCCTGCCCCAGCTGTGCAGTACCTGCCCCTGCCCCACTCCTTCCCTCACTATGGGGGTCTCAATCTACCCCTGCTTCCCTCACAACAGACTTACCAACCAGGCCCAGCTGCTCTCTATGCTGCCAGGCTGCGCTTCTGGCTGCCTGCATGCTGTACTACAGCTGCGTGCATGCACAGAGCATTTACTGGTGACATTATTGGCCACATCAGCCAAAAGAAATGGATTGCCAATACTGTCAATTTTCCTTATAATGGTGCCAATCTGATATGGGACCAGGCTGCACGCAGGGTGGGCAACAGCGGCACTGGGAGGGTACACCTCTAATTTTAAGTTACATCGTTGTTAACAGGGCAGTATGGCACTTTAAAAAGGGAGCAGGCAGGCCTGTTGAAGAAATCTAGCTGTGGGCCATTGGTAATGAAGGAACATCTCACTAGCAGGAGAGAAGAGAGCAGAGAGAATTGAATTGGGTAAAGCAAGGGCCACAGTTCTATACCAGGTCAGAGCCAAAGGGGCTGTACCTACTGCCAATAGAAGGACTAATGGCTTTTGTTTGGGTTTTTTGTTTGCTTGGTACAAGGACTGTGGTTGTGTGTGTTTAAAGGATTGGCTGAAGAGCTAGCTAGGGAGCAAAGCCAGTCCGCAAAGCAGCAGGCTCACCAACCCAAACATATTAATCAACTTTTTTTTTTTTACCAAGAGTTAGTAAAAATTGCAGCATTCCAGAATAAAGATCAAATGCCATAAGCTTTAGTGCAGGGTTCTCTCATTTTCAACCATTTTACAAATAAAAGTCAAGTTTGAAATTCTGCATCATTGTGGTAATGAATATTTTCTTTTAATTAGCTGTGTACACACTAAAAAGCAGAACTCCCAACTACTTATTTTTCCATGTTCTGCAATATACTTGAATGGGAGCTATAGAAAAATCATTCCAGGGAACCACAAAACAAAATTTCTAGATGTAGGACTGAGATCCTTCTTTCTGATTCTTTGTGAAAGTTGTTTTAGTAGGAGAAAGCCATGCAAACTAAACATAGGTAATGAGTTTACAGAACATCTTTCATTTATTGTTTTCCATCTTAGACCTTCACTGAGAGCAGTTTGTGCATATAGGAACATGGGATTTCACAAATGAAGTAGAGGTTTTTCTGGAAATAAATGGCCAATTGTGGGGAAACATCATTGGGCAGCCTGAAAAATCATTGATTTTCAAGGCATACAGGGAAAAAATCTTATGCACTGAGGGCTGATGTGGTTTATGTATTCTATTCTGATTTAGGAGTATTAGCCTTCTCTTTCCATTAACATTTATGCTAATACACCAAAAGACAAGAGGTGCCTAGAGCCCTGAATAGTTGTTTCTGTAATATAGGATTTGCATAAATCTAAATATCAGTTTCATAAGAACTTAATCACATTCATTACTAGATTTCTTATTTAGCTGAGCCTAAGGGCTAGTTATGTTAGAAGCCCTACTGAGACACTGTACATTGTCATGGGCAATTCCTTCCCCAAAGGCCAAATCTTCATCTACCCACCTACGTAAGGCAAGTATGGAATGAGGCTGAAGTTCAGACTAGGGAAAGGAAGGGAGAAAGTTGGTGAGAACAGTCAGATCATAAAATGGAAGTGTAACAGGAAGCCAAAGGCTCCTGTTAGTAGATAGTGGAAGACAAGAGATGATCTGCACATCAATAGGTGGGAGAAACAGGGCAGACATCCCCTGACTTATGTCTGCTGGTATACAGGCAGCAGAGCCATGCTGCAACCCCGTGGGGAGCAGAGCAAACTGCCTATTAGAACTAAAGAGGCAAAGCTGTGCCAGAAGAAAAGCATCACCTGAGTAGAAGAGGCTGCACACAGAGGCACTTAAACGCCTGGCACTTTGAGCAAGGAGTGGGCAGGGGAGGGGTCAGGTCTGTGCTCCAAAGGAAACAGCTCCCAGGAGGGGAAGAGCTGTCCGAGAGACCCTAACTGGCACAGAATGTCCTTGACACAAAGAGGTGAGAGCCTGGTTTACCACCAAAGCTGGCCATGTGTTGTTTAACCCCAGGAAAGGGGAGGAAAGCTTTTTTCTTGTTTCTTAAGTGGAAGCTTGGCTTTTTTTGTTATAGTTAAACCATCAGACTGGATGTGGTTAAAAGGAAAGACAAGGAGGCCACAGGGGTGCCCAAGGAGCAGGTAGGTGTTTTGAACCCTGCCAGGGTTGTGCACAAGACACAGGCAGGTGGGAACTATGAGAGTCAAAGCCTGAGTAGCAAAGGTGAGAGAGGCAGCCTGAGGCTGGTTAGGCTAGGGCCAAAGCCAGAAAAGGGCAAAACTGGGCTGGTATAGTGGGCCTGGGCAAAGGGGGACCCAGCCAGAAAAATGAGGCCAAAGCCAAGAAGACTGAAGCTCAACAAGGGATTGGGGTGTGAGTGAGTCAAGTCTTGCACTGGGGACAAGCTTCCCCACTAAAGTGCTAATGGGTATGATCTGCAAGGTTTGGACATAGCTGTAGGGGTGGAAGGGGGCCATGAATCTAGCTAGCCCTTAAGGCCAGCAGGGCCTGAGGAAACAGGCAGTGAGGGCAAAGTGACAGAGAGGGCCCTATAGAATCACCAGCCCTGGGAGGCAGCCTTCCCTCATACCTTTCCTTTAACATCAAGGCATGGTAGGCAAGTGAGTAGGTTGAGAACCAGGAAGAATCAAGAAGGGGCCGGACAGGATAGAGGTGGCCACTAGGGACAACACGATGGCCCTTGAATGCTGTCTTGTCACAGGCAGGTATAAACTTCTCTGTCTTTTGGTCCCTGCTTTTCCAGTCAGATGGAGCAGTTACAGCCTCCAGCTAGGTCTCCCCACATTTTTAACTTCAAGGCCATGTGCCAGAGAGGTGGGAAAGGGAGTCACCAACCTCAGTCTTAGGATAATCCACTGGTAAAGAGGGCCCTCTCTGTGCTCAAGCCACAGGGCATAAGAAGTGTTATGAAGTCCTTAGCTCAGGCTGTAATAATTCATACTTTGTTTCTTGGTTCATCCCCCCTGCACACAAACAAGAACAATTATTATTTTAGGGTAGTGATTCTCAACCAGGGTGTTACAGCACCCTGAGATCCTTTCAAGGGTGCCGCATGATGACATGCAGTGTTAGCACTGTTAGGTGTACAAACATGATTCACAGGATAAGCCCAGAGACTTCAAATAGGAATCCATACTGTTAAAAATATTCGGACCTGTTATAGTCTTTTTGACTTCTTTGCAACAAAAGAATTGCTCTATTGTTTTTTAGTCAAAAAACAACAGAAAACTAAGAGCTGGCAGTTTACAAGGGATGCCTTCAGTCCAATGAGGTTAAGAACCAGTGGTTTAGGGTACAGATACACATGCCTGCAGCACTCTTTGCTGAGGGAGATTCCTGGTAATTCCACACTTGAGTGGAGATGTGGTCTGGCTTATTCCTACTTTACTCCTCCTTCCCAGTACAGAGGTCTTTCTACAGCTTCTCATAACTGCTATTAGGTGTTGCTGTTCACATTGGAAACTGAAAGAAAAGGAGACAGTCATTTTGTACGCACTTTTATCAAGTTTGCATATACTGGCTATGAACCGAAACCATAACACAAGTTACTTGTGCTTGTGTCATATCCAGCCACCTATGACTCTGTAGTCTGAATGACCAAGTACCCATTTACTAAGGCTGCCTTCAGCATGTGTCTTAAGTGAAACTGTAGCAAAACCCCCAGTTTTACTTTTTCTTTTATTTTAAAATACAACCCTTCCCCAACTATTTCTGACTTTTTCTCTCCCTCTCTATTCCCTGTAGATAAGCATGAGTAAGCTAAGACATAAGATAATCTTTACCATTTTTGTAGCAAGTGTTTTTTCTTCTCTCTCTCCTTTGATCCACTGTTTTATATTGTATAATTATTATGTTTATATTGATTATTACTGTGTGATTACTGTTTTTTACAGTTTTTTTTAATTGATACTATATGATTTACATGTGTAAGTTAGCATAAGTAATGTCAAGTTTTGTCAAGTTTCCATTTGGAATGTCAAGCCTCCATCTTGTGTCCTCTGCCCAGGTGTAACCTATGACATGTCTAACCAATCTCATGTAAACTGGTTCCTGAATAAATGGGGATGAATAAGGGTGCTTGAGATACAATGATAGCAGGCCTCTACTGAATAATCAACTCAACGACTGGACCATCAGCACAACAACCAGACCATTGCTTTTCATTGACTCATGCAGGAACCATAGACCCAGTTATTTGAAAGACAAAGACCCTACAGAAATCAGCCAACCCACTATTGCGACACAGACACCTGGAAATGCATGTCCTTGCCTGGAGTGTACATGCTCAGTACATCAGGGCTGACCCTTGCTTGGGCATGCCCCTGCCACTAGGGTCATAGAAGGTCTTCCCCTATAAAATGGGGTAGTGAAGACAGACCTGGGGGGACACCCTCTCCATCTGGACCAGCACCATGCCACACCACCTATTCACCCAGAGGCCCTGCCGGCAACCCCCTCTGGACAACATCTTGCTGGAGAAGACCCCAACTGGCCATTGAGGATCAGCTCTCAACCCAGGAGAGGTAGCTATCGCCCACCTTTCTTCCGCAAGCAAAGGACCTGAATTCTGTCCCTACACACCTTAACTTCAATCTCTCCTTTCTCTCCTGCTACCATTGTGTGTGTGTGTCTGTAGGAACCAATAACTTTGTGGGGCTGTGTGTTAATAAACCTGTTATTTTGAAACCATGAGTTGGGTTTTTGTCTTATTGACCTCCTGACCCCCCTCCTTGATTTCCCAGCTTTCTGTCTCTCTGTTTCCTGGCTGTCTCCTCCTTGCCACTAGGCTTTTTTCCTTGCTTCCACCCTGGCACCAGGTGACCCTGAGTAACCCCTGGGAACATTAACCCTCAGTAACTCCAAGCACCAAGTTACCGCAAACGCCCCCTAGGGTTAACACACAGCCATGAAAGTGCATGTTTGTGTATGTGTACTGGGTGTGCAGGTATTGACAACTGATTTTTGTCTAATTTTTGGTGTGTATAGTGTGTATAGTGTGCATGTGCTCTAGATTGGTAATCTTGGATGTGTATGTGCCTGAGTTGGTAGTGGGTGTGTACGTGTCTAATTGACGTGTGTGTATATGTGCAATTGTGTCACACCCTCCCATCTAACAGCACAATTTTGAGATCCTGAGAGTTGTCCTGGCCCCACAGGCCAACAAAACTTCCACTCATACTGCTGGAGCTGTGGCAAGGTGTTAAAACCACTTTGCCACCACTCCCTCATGAACTGAATGACAGAATAAAATGTGACAGAGGCTCTTAAATTCCAGCTAATTACAGGATATATTTCATTAAGCACAATTTGGTGATGTTCTATGTGGTGTCATAACCTGAGGATTTGCATGCATCATTAACAATGACATTCCTATTAACTCCAAAAACACTTTGAGGACCACTCCCTACAACTAAGTTTGAGAGACACAGGGCTATCAAACATTGACAGAGGTTAAAATCTAACCTAGACATGCAGTGAGGCTGCTCTGACATGCTGTAATTATAGTGCATTAGACCAGACTCAATTAATTGGGTCTGCGGGAGCGTAATTATTGTGCTCCGGCAGACTCTAATGTCTCATGTATCAGTATCTCTGCAATTAAAAATTGCAGCAGGGGCACTTTAACTAAATCTCATTTGATAAGCTTTAGGTAAAGCATCCCTGCCACCATTTTTAAGCACAAGGACACTGATACACAAGATGCTGTTGGCATTTTAATTAGACCAGCTCTTGGAGCCGCTTCAATTAAAACAGCCCCTCCCCTGCAAAAGCATGTGTATAAATGCCCTAAGGGCTCAGATTACCAATTGTAGCTGCTGTCTACACAGCTATATTTAAAGCTACAGAAACTCAAGTCAGTTTAAATAAGGAGATAGCATTAGTCATTACTCCTGCCCTAAACTGGCCCTCTATTTTTGGTGGTTCAGCAATTTGATGCATTATTTATCATTTCCTTCCCATCCCGTGTTTCTGTTAGAAAACAACCATACTAACAATAGTCAGATCTGAGCACCTATGCACTAGGGATGATCAGTATTTAATCAAAAGCTGTTTTACATACACAAAATGGCTTTTCAACCAAAAGGAAATTTTGTAAAAAAAAAAAAAAAAAGTTTGTAATAAATATACACAATTAAACAGTATATTATCTAAAATTTTCATTGAGAAGGTACACATTCAAAAGCCAAAAATGCAAATTAAACTAACTGAAAGAAGCAGTTATCTAATAATCTTTGGAGTTAGCATAAAGGAAGGTATGCAGAGTTTTGACAAAAGTTAAATTTTGTACACTGGTAGTACCTTTTTAAAATGATATAAATGAGTAAAGTTGTTCTAAAAGTAAAATATCCCAAAATTTTTTAAAAAGGGGAGAGGATATCCCACTCTCTCTCCCCCTTTGCTATAAACTTTTGTCCTTATCCGTTATGAAAAATACCTCATAATCACAAAGTAGATACTGCAGTCTGAATTATGATGCAATAATTCTTATGCAGTACTTTCTATAACCTTACTGGCCTTCAGTCTTATGCCAACAGTGCACTGGGTGTGAATGACTCATGTCTTATTAAGCAGTTCATCTGTCTCCAGCCACCTATGATGGGAGGTAGTTCTAGTGAAGATTTATAAACTAAAGTATAGGGTGCAAGGATTATTAAATAGAAATATATTACTGAGTTATGATGTGAGCAGGGTCAGGAGAAGCTTCTACAATAATGGGTCAAGTAAGGATTGGTTTATGTGAATAAAAGTTGCCATTTTACTTGGCTACTTTTCTGATCACAGTTTTCATGGAATAGTGGAGTCTCCAAGCACTGTTACTACTACTAGCAATAGCCTGAATGGGTGTAAATGGAAAACCATTTTCTAAGTTTGCCATCCTTGGGAAGAAAAAAAAATAGCATGAAATATCATATTGCACATGAGTCATCTTCCTACACTGGAAAAACCATACATTAAAGATCTCAGGATCAGAACTCAGTGATTTTTTTTTTTTTTTT